ACCATGTCACACCATGACTCTGACAAACTCTGGCCAACTAGCTCCCCCTGAAACACTGACACTGTCACACTCTGTCCCTGATCTCACCCTGACCTTATTATACCCTTACCCCGTCACACCATCAACTGAACAGCGCATTAGTTCAATCTAAAGCTTTTATTACAGACATTTAACAGTGCTGAACAGAGCATAAGTTCAATCTGAAGCCTTGATTACAGACATTTATTAGTGCCGAACAGAGCATTAGTTCAATCTAAAGCTTTTATGGCAGACATTCAACAGTGCCGAACAGAGCATTAGTTCAATTTGAAGCATCTATTATAGACATTTAACAGTGCTGAACAGAGCATAAGTTCAATCTGAAGCCTCGATTACAGACATTTAACAGTGCTGAAGAGGCCATTCGTTCAATCTAAAGCCTTTATTGCAGATATTTGACTGTGTTGAAGAGAACATTATTTCTATCCGAAGCCACTATGGCAGACATGCAACAGTGTTGAACAGAACATTTGTACTGTCTTTTAGCCTTTATGCCAGATATTTGTTAGCTTTGAATAGAGCATTAGTTCTCTCTACAGCAATTGAATTAAATGGCTTTTCAGATAAATATGCAAGTATTTGTTAAGCGAATCAATATTTGCTGTAAGTAAATGCTGTATTTGTACAGAATGTAAATCTATATAACATGAACCATACATGTATGTGAATCTTCTTTAAACTATGTATATTTGTTTAATATTGAAAGCAACTACAATATCAGATTAATGTTTAAAATGTATACATCTTCTTCCATCTTGCCATCAAAAAGGTATGTTTTCATAATGTTAAGGCACATGCTCTTTATTTGAAATGCCTTCCCTCACGTCAATCAACAGAATTTTTCCAAGCACTTGATGACGCTGCCTTGTGCTAGCTCAGCACTTAGCTCCCGGACTTACTTTCATTTTGAACCTCTGCCAGTGTGCAGTTGTCAGTAAAACTCCACAGTCACATATAGGATGCCTTCTTCACTGATCATGTATTATTGAATGACATATTGCATCATGTCAGTATACCACAGTGGACACATATTGCATCATGTCAGTATACCACAGTGGACACATATTGCATCATGTCAGTATACCACAGTGGACACATATTACATCATGTCAATATACCACAGTGGACACATATTGCATCATGTCAGTATACCACAGAGGACACATATTGCATCATGTCAGTATACCACAGTGGACACATATTGCATCATGTCAGTATACCACAGTGGACACATATTGCATCATGTCAGTATACCACAGTGGACACATATTACATCATGTCAGTATACCACAGTGGACACATATTGCATCATGTCAGTATACCACAGTGGACACATATTGCATCATGTCAGTATACCACAGTGGACACATATTGCATCATGTCAGTATACCACAGTGGACACATATTGCATCATGTCAGTATACCACAGTGGACACATATTGCATCATGTCAGTATACCACAGTGGACACATATTGCATCATGTCAGTATACCACAGTGGACACATATTGCATCATGTCAGTATACCACAGTGGACACATATTGCATCATTTCAGTATCCCATAGTGGACACATATTGCATTATGCCAGTATACCACAGTGGACACATATTGCATCATGTCAGTATACCACAGTGGACACATATTGCATCACATGGTTATACCACAGTGGAAACATATTGCATCATGTCAGTATACCACAGTGGACACATATTGCATCACATGGTTATACCACAGTGGACACATATTGCATCATGTCAGTATACCACAGTGGACACATATTGCATCATGTCAGTATACCACAGTGGACACATATTGCATCATTTCAGTATACCATAGTGGACACATATTGCATCATGTCAGTATACCACAGTGGACACATATTGCATCATGTCAGTATACCACAGTGGACACATATTGCATCATTTCAGTATACCACAGTGGACACATATTGCATCACATGGTTATACCACAGTGGACACATATTGCATCATGTCAGTATACCACAGTGGACACATATTGCATCATGTCAGTATACCACAGTGGACACATATTGCATCATGTCAGTATACCACAGTGGACACATATTGCATCATGTCAGTATACCACAGAGGACACATATTGCATCATGTCAGTATACCACAGTGGACACATATTGCATCATGTCAGTATACCACTGTGGACACATATTGCATCATGTCAGTATACCACAGTGGACACATATTTCATCATGTCAGTATACCACAGTGGACACATATTGTATCATATGTCTATACCTGTGACAGTGGGCACATATTGCGTCACCACAGTGATATATGTATACCGCAGTGGACAGATCGTACACAAAAACTGTTTAATGATCAAACACATTCCTTTGGATTAGAGATGCAAACAATAATATATTACTGAAAGGTTCCGGGAGAGAATGATGTACGGTATACAACAGAGCACTGTTCTGTACACCTCACACCGACTCTTTCAACGTGACCATGGGTCACCCTTCTCAGGCGGTCAAACAGAACATCAAGTGTTTTAGCACCTATGTGATGTACAACACAATATAGGAGAATCAATTAGTAAGCAGAACAAGTCAAAAAGGATGATGGCCGTTGTCCTTCATGGTTCTAACACTGTTGGGCAGATTGCTGGCATCAGGGAACTTCAAAGGGACTTCTCCCACCTGACTAAACACTGATTGGTTCACTAATTGTTGCGTGCAAGTTGGTTCTGTCCCCAGATTATGGCACCTTTTTGTCAGCATTACAAAACAGAAGTTTACATGATTTAAAACTGAGAAAGATTCAAAGATGTTTGTTGATTGCCTTAAGTTGAAAATATCTGTTACACTGTTTGAGTGAACAGAATGACTTATTGACTATATATTGTGAATGTATGGGACTAAGATGCAGTGTGATACCTTAAATAGATGAACCCAAGTGCACTATGCCGCTCTTGTTTCAGCAAACCACACTATGTGGTAACATTGGAAGGAATATTCAGATATTAATATAAGTTGGACTTCAACCATCAGTATTTGTGTACCAAGCATCAATGGAGGAGAATAATCAGTCTTGACTATCAGTTGAAGCATTTAGAAGTGAAACAGTGGGGAAAGTTACGTGAACGGATCACTGAAAATCTGAGACGAGACGACACCAGGTACAATCTACTATACATGTTTCTCATCAGCTACATTCAGAGTGTCAGTGCAACAACATGTCAGGATTCGTGATTGGTTGCATTTGCAGATTGATTTATTTTGTATGTACTTTGTGCTTAATTCAAAGCAAGATAATTTGCTTGTCAAGATATGGACGACATGTTTTAGTGTATTTCACCAAGACCTTAATTCTGCAATATATCTCCAAAATATAACATCATATGTGTTTAATACAATTTCCTTTGTTAGGAGATGATGAGTTTGATACCTGTTAATACCTGTTTCATGGTTTGTCATCACCATTGTCATGCTAATTAGTTTCACCAGACTGGTAAACTCCTGTATAACTCCAGGCTTCCCTCCCACATCAAGCAGACCTGTCATGATATCACAGAACTGCTGTTCCAACATCATTCAACAATACTCACTCTCTTACTCATTCATTCCCACCTAGTGATTACTTCTGAGGGGATATACATTCTTGACAATCTATCCACTGTTTCATGGCGAGGTAACAATGCAGTTTGTTGTATCTGTCAGTGTGTTATGAGTGAGTTTGTTTTAAACTCTGTCTTCGTATCGCATGGTGACAATCACTGGATTGTCTGGTCCAGACTCGATTTGTTTACAAACATCATCATACAGCTGTAATACTGCTGAAACAAATATATACTCATGATATAGTCTCAATTGTTCAATCAACTTTGATTTTAGCGGATATATCTTGTGAACGTGTTTAAGTGATGTGAGTAAGGTGATGCAAAATAAATTCCTGAATACTGGTTTGATGTCGACTTAAACTTCGTGAAGATTGATAATGTGCTTGACTTGCCCCAATTTTTCCAGAATAACGTGCAAAGGTGCTCCTAATGTTTTTGCAGGTCATCAAAAAAAGAATTCTTGATATTTTTCTTTTAACAGAGATAGTGTTATATTTACTTTCAATGTGAGAAACAGGTAAAGAGCACACACGGTAGATTTGTTCAACTCTCACTGTTTGACAGGACTCTTTTGAAGTCTACCTGTATAAAACATCAGTTAGATTGTGTCACCAGCACAGGAGCACAACACAAATAACATTCAATGTTAATGGCAAATGTACATTATGTTCAGAGTCTCAACTAAGACGATGACAAGTGGGGTGTCGGTGGGGCTGGTTTGAAAAGCAAACACTTCAGAATTATGATAACCTGCTTGACAATACCAAGAATAATTTTCACTGAAAAATGGAACTAAATGCACTGATCATCTTTTGGGGATATTATTATCCAAAAGAAATTCTTTAAAGGCTTGGTTTTCATTTTCTTTCTTTGGGTTTTTGGTTTTTTTGCATTTTGTGTCCTGATCAAAATTTGTGAATATACGTCTTTGAACAAACACACCTATCATGACATCTCCCTCTGTACCGAGAGCATAACAAATGTGTCCCTTACACTAGTCCCAGGCAATGTATGCTTAGTCATCTCTATGATGCATTAATGATAACTGGGAGACATCTTCTGATGATTCAAGTTTTAGTATTGATACTGGTTACAGTAAATGACAAGTTGAAGATTTGTTTTTCAATAGAATCACTTTTAAATCTACACTTGCATCCCAGTCCTAAGATTGGTTGACTCTACTTTCTGACAGAGTGGTTTCAGTATCTAGGAAATAATGTGTTCACATGTATGTCTCATTTGAATGTCTAGGAAATAATGTGTTCATTTTGATTTTGAAGGTATTGGGGAACAAGTAACACATGTGTTCACAATAAGGTTATCTAACACTGAGCTGTGTGATTGGTTACAACTTTTGCTTCAGCTCTGAAGATTGGAGGAGAGAATGGGCTGTACTTTCTCAATGGCAACCCGGCGTCTCAATCCGTCTGGGGTCATACGTGGTGCTGGGACAGTCTTCCGATATGGTCGAAGCCAGAGCCGACATTGTCCAGGAGAGTGCTTGTTCTCTGATGGCCCAACAACTCAGGACATTGAAGTGCAGGTGGGTTGGTCTTGTAGGAGATGATGGAATGTTTTACACACTTCCCATATCGTCGATCGTCGACAGGCATGTCTGTATGGATGTACAGATTGCATGAAACACTGAGTGTTCCCTGTCCAAAGAAAGACTGAAACTGATCCAAAGGCAATGGCAACGACCAAATGTTATTGTGTTATTCTTGAACTGAAGACAGTATTCTGTTTAGGGAAATAAACAAGCACTATGTTATACTATGAATTCTGTTATCCCAATACAGTAGGAATAGAAATAGTATTTCTTTCAATTCTCATTCAAAGTTTCTGAATTCATTTTTCTACAGTAAAGACAAGAATACATCCAATGTATCTGGTATTTTCCTTGTAGCTGCTGTACTACCACCATAACCCTGGGATAGTGTACCACTTCACCATACCCAAACACAAGATGGGTGTCATGATGGCTCATTCCAGCCGTGAGGAAGCAGATGACACACGCCCCCGTCAGGGACATCATCAACACCATAGCACTCGCCAAGGCAACCAAGGTCACCATAATAGAAATGGTCACCATGGCAACAGGCATCATACGCATAAAACGACAACAGTTCCGAGTCCAAGTTTAAATCCTGGTGAGCTGAACAGACAACAAGGGGATATGCATGTATCCCAGGAGAGTCGTCGTAACAGGCACAGACTTGTATCTCGGCACCGTAACACTGGGGGCGAGAGCAGCAGAATACAGCATGGCCAGTCCCCGCGATATATTCCAGCATATGACCGGAATAAACAGCTCCGACTGAGCAGCAGAAGAAGAATTATTGCCCGAACATACCCAGACCATCAGAGGCAGCCTGTGAGATCAGCCTATGCCAACAGACGTTCCAATGGACAGTATCTATCAACCTCAAATCAAAATTATGCATCCAGAAGGCAAGACCAGGGTTCTGCCAGCCCCACCCAGAGCAGGTCTTTCCCAGGTCACACCTCAAGGGGAACATCCATGGACCAGAGAGCCAGTCAGAGATCTCATTCCATCAGACCTCATCATGAGAAGACCAGTGCCAGGAAATCATACCCGTCCTCCGTGAGGTCCTCTCACACACAGAAGTACCACACGAATACCCACAGGTCCCGGTCGGACCCCAGCCTCTTGGGCAACTCTCAGAGCAACGTCTGGGGCAACTCCCGAGGCAACCGTCTGGCCAACTCCAACTACCACAGATCAGCCGTCAGCAGCAGTCGGGGTTACAACAACATTCAGCAGATTCCAAATGACGGCACAGCAAGTGGCGAGGTGTATACATGGAAGATTTCTGGGTTTTCTGAGTGCTCCATGACATGTGGAGGAGGTGAGTGGGAATTATAATGCTTTCACTTCTAAATCCTTTGTTATATTTTGATATATTGGAACATCAGATCATGTCCCCCCGGCCATGTTGCTTTAACCTGAATGGTTATGCTTGGTTTCCTGGTTGACTGAATACCATGGAATAGTTCAATGGCCTAGAGTGCTGGTATTGCTTTCAGTTCATACCTTATCATTTAAAGAGAGATTGGATATAGATTAAAACATTCTGACCTTACCAACGCTCCCTCAGACTTGGTTTAAACATCATACTGGAAGTGTGGTGAATATTGGTTGTCTGTGCTACATGACGAGAGAAAGATGGGATTTGTCCTCTCCTCTGACACCCTCACGGCTGTATTCTTCAACTTTGGACAGAAATTCAGTTTTATGATGTTCTCTTTTCGGGCCCATGCTTGGGTCGTAGTGAGGGTATACACATTTCCAAGTTAGACAGATATCTCAAAACTGTGAAACAAAATTGTGAATATTTTTACCACAGTAATCAGTAGAATAAAAAGCTATATAAAATATAACCAAGAAAGAATAGGCCACCTTGATTACCTTCTGAAACAGACTCCCTTCAGCATATAAGGCAAAATCAGACAAAAAATGATGAATATATGGATCACAGAAAATTGACATCAGGTGCCAATAGATCCTCACATTATTGGCACAAATAGTCCTTTAACTGTTCCCCTTTGATGTCAAGTTGGATGACCAAGAGTTCATGGTTACACTCAAACTGTAGGATTGAGACACACTTGTGTCTGAGAATGAAGATGACAGATGACAAATTGAGAGGTGGACTGTCGACAATGTGTAAATGTTAGAACATTATTCAAGCCATGACTGTGTACTGTAATCTGTTCTTGTGGTTAAAGAAAGTAGACATTTAATTTCCTTTCATTAACTTTGTAAATAAATGTGTTAAACATTAATCAAAGGAAAAAACACATTGGTTGACATGTTGAGTCTGTGTGCTGCAGATGACTGAATTGCTTGCTACTCAATATCACCACTCCCCTGAAAATGAATACTCAGTTAGCGTATAATAAATCTCCTGGCTGTCTCTGTCCGAGCTCTCCTTCCTAACTCAGCATGAGACTTGATGCGGTTCAACACAACACGTAAACTCATGACGATATCATCACAATGGGGAAGGTTTTCAGCTGATATTAACTGTAAATCAGTCTGGAGTGAAATCATGGCTCCTCACTGCTGGGTTGCAGTTAAAGGGGCAATACCACAGACTTGCTCATGTCTTTGTGCATGTGATATTGTAATGATAAGTAATGTGATGCATTACACTGTCGTAATGAGTGAATGTTTTTTTGTGGTGGTAACATTCTAGCCATATCACAGCAGCTTCTTTTCGAGAATCAGATCTGCACTAATGGGCGATAGCATGAGCAGGAATTTCACACTGTCAGGATACAATGACATGAGTCAGATACTGCAACCATGAGATGGACATACATCAGCTACAGGTGCCTTAGCAATACCTATAGGGTACAGTCTGAAGTATCTGTGTGTAGTGCTCCAATCTTATCAGTAGTTGACTGAACTCACAGCTCTGGCGATGAAGGAATCCATTGCACAAGAATTTGAAATCCCATTCAGGACAGTTCAAGACTGCCAGATTGAAAACATGAGGCTATTGTTTGTTTGTTTGTTTTCATGAGTCAGAGATGAACAACCTCTTAGCAATTTATGGCTAGGGCTTTACACCCTGTACCCATATGGATATTAGAACCAGGGCTGTCAATAAAAGTGAACACTTTAACCAGTGGGCTACCCCATGTCATCATGAAGAGAAGCCACTTGTATCATGGGCCTCAGTACATTATTTGCACTGCAACAATTTAATGGTCTCTGAGAACCTCAATGGGCAGCAAACCTTGACCTTGTAGCCACCAGAGCATCAAGTACACTGGTTGTAAATGGAACTCTGATATGTGCGTATGTTGTAAGCTAGAAGACATCACCTGGTAACTGTCCCTTTGTGGCTGATTGAGTGGCCAATAGTAGATCATTGTACACTGGAGCAGGTCACAAGGGGTCACAGAGCCTCACCGAGTGAGCAGGGGACATGAGACCTCTCCGTCTCCCAGATGAGACACCTCTGCAGAGGATAAAGTGTCAGGTGCTGAGACCATGACCAGCCTCCTCATCCAGCTGCCAACTCCATCACATCACATGACCAGCCCTCCTCATCCACCATCACATCACATGACCAGCACTCCTCATCCAGCTGCCTCTCCATCACATCACATGACCAGCACTCCTCATCCAGCTGCCACTCCATCACATCACATGACCAGCACTCCTCATCCAGCTGCCACTCCATCACATCACATGACCCACTCATGACCTGCCTCTCCTCATCCACATCCAGCCTCCTCATCCATCATCACATCACATGACCATGCACTCCTCATCCAGCCACTCCATCATCACATGACCAGCCTCCTCATCAGCTGCCACTCCATCACATCACACGCAGCCAGCACTGCCCTCATCCTCATCATCACATCACACCAGCACTCCTCATCCAGCGCCCTCCATCACATCACATGACCAGCACTCCTCATCCAGCTGCCACTCCATCACATCACATGACCAGCACTCCTCATCCAGCTGCCACTCCATCACATCACATGACCAGCACTCCTCATCCAGCTGCCACTCCATCACATCACATGACCAGCTGCCACTCCATCACATCACATGACCAGCACTCCTCATCCAGCTGCCATCACATCACATGACCAGCACTCCTCATCCAGCTGCCACTCCATCATGACCAGCACTCCTCATCCAGCTGCCTCTCCATCACATCACATGACCAGCACTCCTCATCCAGACCAGCCACTCCATCACATCATCATCATGACCAGCACTCCTCATCCAGCCGCACTCCTCATCCAGCCGCCACTCCATCACATCACATGACCAGCACTCCTCATCCAGCTGCCACTCCATCACATCACATGACCAGCACTCTCATCCAGCCAGCCACTCCATCACATCACATCAGCATGACCAGCATCACATCACTCATCCAGCTGCCACTCCATCACATCACATGACCAGCACTCCTCATCCAGCCGCCTCTCCATCACATGACCACATGACCTCCTCCATCATCCAGCTGCTCCATCCATCACATCACATGACCAGCACTCCTCATCCAACTGCCACTCCATCACATCACATGACCAGCACTCCTCATCCAGCTGCCACTCCATCACATCACATGACCAGCACTCCTCATCCAGCTGCCACTCCATCACATCACATGACCAGCACTCCTCATCCAGCCGCCACTCCATCACATCACATGACCAGCACTCCTCATCCAACTGCCACTCCATCACATCACATGACCAGCACTCCTCATCCAGCCGCCACTCCATCACATCACATGACCAGCACTCCTCCTCATCCAGATCCATCACATCACATGACCAGCACTCCTCATCCAGCTGCCACTCCATCACATCACATGACCAGCACTCCTCATCCAGCTGCCTCCTCCATCACATCACACTTCCAGCACAACATCACATGACCAGCACTATGCTTCACCAGTTACACACATTCCTGCAACCTTCTTCAGATAAACAATTTTACCTTCTTCAGATAAACTTACTCTTGGATTTTTAAATGCTTTATCAGATTTCAGTAGGCTAAGTCATAAATCCAAATTATTTTGCCCAAGCCTTAAGGTTAAAAATGTTAATTGGACAGGTGAGATTTTTATATCCCATTGGACACTGTTGGTTACTTTTCATGTAAAGAAACTCTTAGTTACGGCTGTGTTATTCATCCTGGTCATGACACATAGTGATACATTAGAAGATGTGTTGTAACCGAAAGAAATACCTGGGTACATCAAATTCTGTGAGAGAAATTCTGTGTTTTTCAACCTTGTCTTATAAACATTGATCTATTGGTTGGATTTTAGGCCTCTTTTAGCAATATCACAACAGAAAACACCAGAAATCGAACAAAAGTTATCATTGTGCACAATTCCAAAAATACTTCTACATCCCAATTAGCTGTTAGGAAAACTTAAGCACACCTGTGCATGCACAAAGCAGGAAAACATAACTTCCAATAATTGCATACACATATTTTGGGAAGATGGAGTAACTACTGATATAACAGAAGTAGTATTCTTAGAATTATACAGAACGGTAACTATTTTCTTATTAATCATTCAAGTGTCTTTCTCTATTACATCTTTACCAGAATTCACCAGTGGGTTGTTGAGATCTAGTAATCCAGAATACCTGAAAGTAATATACTGTCTGAAGTAATAAACTGTAGAAATGGAAGGTACATGACTTGATTGCAAACATATTGGCTGTGATGTAGTTCAGGGGGTGTATTTGAAGAAATGGCCTCCATAACCTGTACAGTGTGGGGTATTGAAACTGGACTTCTGCCTCAAAGGGGGATGCTTTAACCACCCTGTCTCACACAGGGAAGTTTCACACAACAGTAGGCATATGTACGTGCATACTGACAGATATTTGATCTTTTGACATGTCCGCATAAATGAATCACTCACTATCAAGACTCTCTGAAATTTTCTGTAAATAGGATACCTGCTTTTATTCATTGTGTCCATGATTTGTAAAATCAAAGGAACTATTGAGTAATGTAATATTTTTCAGAAGTTAGTCTTACATTGTGCCTGAAGCTGAATGTCTGGCTGTAACAGATTAGTAAATGTCAGACAAAATCAGGTGTAACATTTCCATCAGTATTATATCAATAATGTAGAATTGTATATATCTCTGTGCGTGCGTGCGCGCGTGCGCGCGTGCGTATCGTCGTCGTCGATGCGGCGCGATGCGTCGCGTCGCGTCGCGTCGCGTCGCGTCGTGCGTGCGTGTGATATCGAGCGCTTGTACTTGTTGAGACTTATGGCAGACTACATAGTGCATATCCCATGCCACAGCTCCATATGAATACCCCGCAGACACACCTTACTCAGACTTTGTATTATACCTTTACTGCCGAGTGGCAGACAAGGTAAAAACAAGTACCATCTTTTGGAACGATGTGGCCAGTGTACAGAGCCGCTGACCGGCCAGTGTACCCTGACCTGATGTTCTTTGTCCAGATGCTCTGTCCACCACACCACAGAGGTGGTCAACCGATACAGTAGTATTTGAAAGAATGTATCAAATTTTAATGGACCAATCATGCTGTTTTTGACATGACGAGATAACAGATAGATTTAGTTGTCACACACCGGCAGTTCAACCTAAGTATTCCTGTCAAGGAAAGTTGAGTAAACAAGGCAGAATTCCTGCCAACATTAACAGCCACATTGGCCGACAGCAGGTATTCCTGGACCTTGGGGCTGGGTTTGTGGTGACAGTCATCCTTATTGTTCAGACAGAGACAGACAGAGAGTGAGTGGTGTCTGGTGTGTCTGTTTGTAGTCATTACTTTATATTCATTCCAATTTCTTCAAGTAATTTAAACAAACAATAGCCCTATATCAGTGTATGAAATAAGGCCCGTCCAAGCCAGCCCGATGGTCTGGTAAAAATTTGAGTAAATTCACCATATCTTGCTTGGTGTCTGGTCTGGTTAAATCCATTTTGGGCTGGTAACATTTTCAAGTTACCAGCCCTGATGTCTGGATGGGTTTGGGGCTTGTTTCATACACTGCCTATATAGAAACAGATTCATGGTTTCAAGCATTTTGTAAGTGTTAGAATACAAAGTTATTGTTAGGTGTGTGGAACTATCCCTTCAGTGATGTTTAAATGTCCATGAGGAGATGGCTACATGAGGAGATGGCTACATGAGGAGATGTCAACATGAGGAGATGTCAACATGAGGAGATGTCAACATGAGGAGATGGCTACATGAGGAGATGGCTACATGAGGAGATGTTTGTGATGAGAGTTCTCCACTCCAGGAGCAGATAGATAGTGTCACTGGTTCATATGTTTCTTGTTCAGCTGAGTAGATCAGAGGAAGTGAATTATATTGGATCTTCAACTGTTATTGAAGGTATCAGATGACTGATATGTCTGCAGATTAATTCAATGTCAAATTTCCACCATGACAGAGTTTTTTTGCGTAGATGTTTTATGCCCAAAGTTTACACTGACGTTATCTATGAGGAAATTCAGCATTTCAAATACTGTTTTCCCTGTAAACTTCTGTGACCTTTGCTTTCATTTTCACAAAATGTCCTGAACCTTTGAAGACTGTTATCTGTGGGCACCATGATTGGAGACAATTATCCCATGGATCTTGAAATAAAATTTGTCATGTTGGGTATGGAGTATACATTTGAAAAGTCAAAAGTTCTGATGGAACGGAACTTTGTTTGTTGATTTTGCAACAATCCAACCGTACAAAATCTTTCATCAAACAATTAATATTGTGATGGGTATTTAAAACAGTTATGGTGTTTGAGGTTTTGTTATAGCAAACAACTACAAACAGTTCATGTAGGGAGTCAGACACTGACATTTGGCTGGGACAGAATGAGTTTAGTTCATTTCTGTTTCCTCATTTTCACGTTATATCAGTACTAGTAGAGCAGTAGGCTAGGGTGTAGAGTCGACTTAATGCCCCCATCTCTTGTATGGACATGTTATAGCTCTATGGAAAGCTTGTTGTATGTAGAATATGATGTACCCTGGTGTGGTGGCCAAAAGTGATCCCATTTTGGAGAAAAGGAGGTCATGTGACAGCATCCTGTTTTGATTTGTTCTAACTACAATAAAACATATGGGAAGTTAAATGTTGATTATAAATTCTCACATGATAAAATACAGTGAAGCATTTGCCAGATTCTCTCTAATGTATTTTCCCAAAGTTTACAAACTACCGCAGTCAGAAATGGTGTTTTTTTGTGTCAAAAATGCTATTTTTAAAATTATTAAATGATTACATTTAAAACATGCTTATGGAAATATTTCTTAAGGGGAAATTGAATTATTCATTATTAACTCTTCAGTCAATGTGGGAAGTTCAAATGAAGGTGCACAACAGCTTATATATTCAGGTTGCAAATTAACTTACATTGTGATGCTTATCAGAGTACATCATCATGGACCATCCAAGACACAAACACTGTGACAGCCATCTGATAAACATGGCAGGGGAGACGGGAGGCACTATGTGATTCATGTCGCACTTTAAACAAACCTTTTCACTACCATGTTAAATCTCATTTAGATAACATCTCCACAATACATATTGTAATTCTGAAATCTAACCCTTCAACTATTTAGCAACGATTTCCATCAGTTATTAATCCCCAGTCAACCACACCATCCCCACCATGTCGCTCTCAAAACTCAGTTTCATTGGATGAGGTAAATACATGTTAAAAAGACTACATTTACATTCTTAGCGCCTAGACACACTGGTGCATTACCTGCCCCCTCCATATTGTCATGTATTTCCATTTTGGGGTCGAATTTCCTGCACATTGCCAGCAGGTTTGGTGGGTGATGCTCACATGATCTGATAAATATGACAGCAACAGTGTGAGACAGGGCCTTGACATAGTCAGATCCGACACTCAGTTAATCCACGGCCCACCTCCCCGACATTTAATCCTTTCATAATCCCCGGTGTCAGGCAGGTGATGATGGTTAATTCCTGGCTTACACTGGCAGGCAGACCTCCAGGTCAGTTTGCATAGGGACCAGCACAGGACACAATGATAACACAAATACCTCTCATACTTCATGCTGTTGGGCTGGGAGGAGGATTTTATAATTGTGTTCAAATTTAAAAAGTAGTGAGAATGTGAATTTCATGTGTGGCAGTTCACAACATGTAATTGATGACATCTCAAGATGTGTATTTTCTTTTTGAAAATGATGCTTTAAAAAGAAATGTTGTCTAACAGTTTATATTTCTAGAATATGTCGACACCCGTTGCATACCAATGCTTGTGGTAACAGTCAGTAGTGAGGATTGGGAGGTTAGAATGTTTGCCCTGTCATGTCCCACCTGTGGAAAGATTTCACTAATTGTCTACCACAGATCTGCCTTCTTTATGAATACACAAAGCCATTTTTAGAAAGTGATCAAATGGAACATACGTTATATTTGGGATTAAACTTTTTCAGTAAAGTACAGATTCTAGTACTTTTGTTGGATTGAGTCCCATTTGGGATTCGAACCCAGATTCAGCATTAGGTGGCTGACTTTGTGTTACTGTCTTCTTTAGTCTTGATCATTTGCACAGCAAATGACATTAGCTGGAATATTGCTGAATGTGGCCTTTAGAACATTTACTCACTCACTAAATATATTTTAAAATGATTTGTCATATGTGCATTGTTTAATAATCGTGTGATTTGTTCTCCAGGTGTCCAAGAAACGGAGATTGTGTGTGTGAAGCGGAGTTCAGGCTTTGTTGTGACGGAGGAGAACTGTGACCCCAAACAGATTCCCCACAGACAGAGGGTCACCTGCAACAACCAACCATGTCCACCAGGGTGAGTCACTCACAGACATGTTGACCTTCACCTTTTATGAGTTAGATGCAACTATTTTGATCTTGTCTTGTCTGAGGTAGACACAACCAATGTCATCTTGTCCTCTGTATGAAGTCGACACAACCAATTGACCCCCCAACCCCAACCCCACCCCCATGCGAGTTCGATACAACCATTTTGACCTTGACCTCTGTGTGAGGGAGAAACAGCCAGAGTGCCCTCTGTGTGAGTTACATACAGAATTTTGATCCCATCCTGTGTGTGAGGTAGCTACAGTCAGTTGTCCTCCTGAGTTAGTTGCAACATACAGATTCCTCCTTTTATGTGTTGATAGGATGAAATACATTGAGATGCTACCTGTCACATTTTACTTAGAGCACAGGCAAATACTGTCATCCTCTGGGTCATTACTGTTTTTGGTCTGGTTGAATACATTCATGTGCTGATAAAGTACTGTAAAGTGTCCAGTTTGTAGAAGTGTGAAACTCTCATGGTTTGTGAAATGTGTGCTTTCCAGGATGACAACCCTCAAAGAACACAAACTAATTCACAACATTACCCGTGGTTGTGATGTTCAGATGAAACTCAGTTAACAAGCAAGCATTTCATCAAAAAGAAGTATACAGGAATGCTGGGTCTGGTTATACGAACCATACACTTTTATAGGAAATCAGGCAGTCTGCTTCAAACTTTATTGGTTGAGTTTGTGCAGTATTTTGCTTGTGGAACTCTAGTATTTGCATGTGCTCTAAGATAGATAGAGTACTTTCCGTACTGGAAAAAACTTCATTGTCCTAAAAATAGACATTTTGGAACTGATTTTTATCTCTCAAGTATGTGAGGACCAATATTACTACAGACTGAGGGGTCGTGACATCATATCCTACAATATGTTGTCGTGTTGCAGCTGGGACCCTGCAGAGTGGACAGCGTGCAGCACATCCTGTGGGAAGGGGATTCAAACTCGGACTGTGGAGTGCAACAGAAGGATCTCACCGACCTTCACCATGAGCGTGTCTGCCAACCTGTGTCTCAACATGCCCAGACCTGCTGTATCCCGCATGTGTGAAAATACACCTTGCGCTGAGTGGAAGATTGGAAAATGGGAAAAGGTAGGTGAAGAGACCTTGCACTCATCGTTATAGCAGATATTGACGTGAAGAGAGACCTTGCACTCATTGTTATAGCAGATATTGACGTGAAGAGAGGCCTTGCATTCATTGTTATAGCAGAGGCCTTGCACCTTCATTGTTATAGCAGATATTGACGTGAAGAGAGACCTTGCACTCATTGTTATAGCAGATATTGACGTGAAGAGAGACCTTGCACTCATTGTTATAGCAGATATTGACGTGAAGAGAGACCTTGCACTCATTGTTATAGCAGATATTGACGTGAAGAGAGACCTTGCACTCATCGTTATAGCAGATATTGACGTGAAGAGAGATAGCAGATATTGAGGCCTTGCACTCATCGTTATAGCAGATATTGACGTGAAGAGAGACCTTGCACTCATCGTTATAGCAGATATTGACGTGAAGAGAGACCTTGCACTCATCGTTATAGCAGATATTGACGTGAAGAGAGACCTTGCACTCATCGTTATAGCAGATATTGACGTGAAGAGAGACCTTGCACTCATCGTTATAGCAGATATTGACGTGAAGAGAGACCTTGCACTCATCGTTATAGCAGATATTGACGTGAAGAGGCCTTGCACTCATCGTTATAGCAGATATTGGCGTGAAGAGAGACCTTGCACTCATCGTTATAGCAGATATTGGCGTGAAGAGAGACCTTGCACTCATCGTTATAGCAGATATTGACGTGAAGAGAGACCTTGCACTCATCGTTATAGCAGATATTGACGTGAAGAGAGACCTTGCACTCATCGTTATAGCAGATATTGACGTGAAGAGAGGCCTTGCACTCATCGTTATAGCAGATATTGACGTGAAGAGAGACCTTGCACTCATCGTTATAGCAGATATTGACGTGAAGAGAGACCTTGCACTCATCGTTATAGCAGATATTGACGTGAAGAGACCTTGCACTCATCGTTATAGCAGATATTGACGTGAAGAGAGACCTTGCACTTATATCGTTATAGCAGATATTGGCGTGAAGAGAGGCCTTGCACTTATCGTGATAGCAGATATTGACGTGAAGAGAGACCTTGCACTTATCGTTATAGCAGATATTGACGTGAAGAGAGACCTTGCACTTATCGTTATAGCAGATATTGACGTGAAGAGAGACCTTGCACTCATCGTTATAGCAGATATTGGCGTGAAGAGACCTTGCACTCATCGTTATAGCAGATATTGACGTGAAGAGAGACCTTGCACTTATCGTTATAGCAGATATTGGCGTGAAGAGACCTTGCACTTATCGTTATAGCAGATATTGACGTGAAGAGAGACCTTGCACTTATCGTTATAGCAGATATTGACGAAGAGAGACCTTGCACTCATCGTTATAGCAGATATTGGCGTGAAGAGAGGCCTTGCACTCATCGTTATAGCAGATATTGGACGTGAGAGAGACCTTGCACTCATCGTTATAGCAGATATTGACGTGAAGAGAGACCTTGCACTCATCGTTATAGCAGATATTGGCGTGAAGAGACCTTGCACTCATCGTTATAGCAGATAGCGTTATAGATATTGGCGTGAGAGGCCTTGCACTCTATCGTTATAGCAGATATTGACGTGAAGAGAGGCCTTGCACTCATCGTTATAGCAGATATTGACGTGAAGAGAGACCTTGCACTCATCATCGTTATAGCAGATATTGACGTGAAGAGAGACCTTGCACTCATCGTTATAGCAGATATTGACGTGAAGAGAGACCTTGCACTCATCGTTATAGCAGATATTGACGTGAAGAGAGACCTTGCACTCATCGTTATAGCAGATATTGACGTGAAGAGAGGCCTTGCACTCATCGTTATAGCAGATATTGATGTGAAGAGAGACCTTGCACTCATCGTTATAGCAGATATTGACGTGAAAGAGAGACCTTGCACTCACTCATCGTTATAGCAGATATTTGCACTCATCGTTATAGCAGATAAGAAGAGACCTTGCACTCATCGTTATAGCAGATATTGACGTGAAGAGAGACCTTGCACTCATCGTTATAGCAGATATTGACGTGAAGAGAGACCTTGCACTCATCGTTATAGCAGATATTGACGTGAAGAGAGGCCTTGCACTCATCGTTATAGCAGATATTGACGTGAAGAGAGACCTTGCACTCATCGTTATAGCAGATATTGACGTGAAGAGAGACCTTGCACTCATCGTTATAGCAGATATTATAGCGTGAAGAGAGACCTTGCACTCATCGCTATAGCAGATATTGACGTGAAGAGAGGCCTTGCACTCATCGCTATAGCAGATATTGACGACGAAGAGAGGCCTTGCACTCATCGTTATAGCAGATATTGACGTGAAGAGAGACCTTGCACTCATCGTTATAGCAGATATTGACGAAGAAGAGACCTTGCACTCATCGTTATAGCAGATATTGACGTGAAGAGAGGCCTTGCACTTATCGTTATAGCAGATATTGACGTGAAGAGAGACCTTGCACTCATTGTTATAGCAGATATTGACGTGAAGAGAGACCTTGCACTCATTGTTATAGCAGATATTGACGTGAAGAGAGACCTTGCACTCATCGTTATAGCAGATATTGACGTGAAGAGAGGCCTTGCACTTATCGTTATAGCAGATATTGACGTGAAGAGAGACCTTGCACTCATTGTTATAGCAGATATTGACGTGAAGAGAGACCTTGCACTCATCGTTATAGCAGATATTGATGTGAAGAGAGACCTTGCACTCATCGTTATAGCAGATATTGACGTGAAGAGAGACCTTGCACTCATTGTTATAGCAGATATTGACGTGAAGAGAGACCTTGCACTCATTGTTATAGCAGATATTGACGAAGAGAGACCTTGCACTTATCGTTATAGCAGATATTGACGTGAAGAGAGACCTTGCACTCATCGTTATAGCAGATATTGACGTGAAGAGAGGCCTTGCACTTATCGTTATAGCAGATATTGACGTGAAGAGAGACCTTGCACTCATTGTTATAGCAGATATTGACGTGAAGAGACCTTGCACTCATTGTTATAGCAGATATTGACGAAGAGAGACCTTGCACTCATCGTTATAGCAGATATTGACGTGAAGAGAGGCCTTGCACTTATCGTTATAGCAGATATTGACGTGAAGAGAGACCTTGCACTCATTGTTATAGCAGATATTGACGACCTTTGAAGAGAGACCTTGCACTCATCGTTATAGCAGATATTGATGTGAAGAGAGACCTTGCACTCATCGTTATAGCAGATATTGATGTGAAGAGAGACCTTGCACTCATTGTTATAGCAGATATTGACGTGAAGAGAGACCTTGCACTCATTGTTATAGCAGATATTGACGTGAAGAGAGGCCTTGCACTTATCGTGATAGCAGATATTGACGTGAAGAGAGGCCTTGCACTCATTGTTATAGCAGATATTGACGTGAAGAGAGACCTTGCACTCATCGTTATAGCAGATATTGACGTGAAGAGAGACCTTGCACTCATTGTTATAGCAGATATTGACGTGAAGAGAGGCCTTGCACTCATTGTTATAGCAGATATTGACGTGAAGAGAGACCTTGCACTCATTGTTATAGCAGATATTGACGTGAAGAGAGACCTTGCACTCATTGTTATAGCAGATATTGACGTGAAGAGAGGCCTTGCACTCATTGTTATAGCAGATATTGACGTGAAGAGAGACCTTGCACTCATCATCAAACTGCTATTGAACTGTGTCATCAAGACCATGGTACATGTACATGGAAATATCAACCATTGAAATGAATTACCGGTAAGAGACCTGGCACACATAGAATTATCAGATATTGCTGACATGCTTTGAAACCTGCCATGTATTTTCCCTTTGTTTCAACATAACTTATTCCAGTTATGATTTTGTTACTTTTATCATTGAAACTAAAAAGAAGGGGTGTATATGTAGAATGGACTGAAGTACCTAGTGTTTGCCATAATAGCACACTACCATGGGTTGGTATACAGTGTGTTACAATTTGACTAAGAGTCTTTCAACTTGATATTGTGGGTCATTTCTCATGCTGTCAACCACTAGCTCTTCTAGTATGTCGAGTCTACCTACACCCTACATCGCTATACAAGCACTAGCTCTTCTAGTATGTCGAGTCTACCTACACCCTACATCGCTATACAACCACTAGCTGTTCTAGTATGTCGAGTCTACCTACACCCTACATCGCTATACAACCACTAGCTCTTCTAGTATGTCGAGTCTACATGCACCCTACATCGCTATACAACCACTAGCTCTTCTAGTATGTCGAGTCTACCTACACCCTACATCGCTATACAAGCACTAGCTCTTCTAGTATGTCGAGTCTACATGCACCCTACATCGCTATACAACCACTAGCTCTTCTAGTATGTCGAGTCTACCTACACCCTACATCGCTATACAAGCACTAGCTCTTCTAGTATGTCGAGTCTACCTACACCCTACATCGCTATACAACCACTAGCTGTTCTAGTATGTCGAGTCTACCTACACCCTACATCGCTATACAAGCACTAGCTCTTCTAGTATGTCGAGTTCACATGCACCCTACATCGCTATACAACCACTAGCTCTTCTAGTATGTCTAGTACCTACACCCTACATCGCCATACAAGCACTAGCTCTTCTAGTATGTCCAGTCCACCACACCCTACATCGCTATACAACCACTAGCTCTTCTAGTATGTCGAGTCTACATGCGCACCCTACATCGCATATACAACCACTAGCTCTTCTAGTATGTCGAAGTATACAAGCACTACACAGTCCTACTAGCTCTTCTAGTATGTCGAAGTCTACCTACACCCTACATCGCTATACAAGCACTAGCTCTTCTAGTATGTCGAAGTCTACATGCACCCTACATCGCTATACAACCACTAGCTCTTCTAGTATGTCGAAGTCTACCTACACCCTACATCGCTATACAAGCACTAGCTCTTCTAGTATGTCGAAGTCTACATGCACCCTACATCG